GTTCCGATGAAGAAACAAACTCATCTACATCTTGGATGGCCTGTGAGTAGATTTTCAGCAAATGTACATTGTTGTCTTAACTGTTCCTTTAAGTTGTGCTAGACACCAACAGGTGGTAACATCAGTTACTCGGAGGTGCTTAAGGAGTTGTGTAACCCACTCTTACATGCACACGCTGTCTTAATCATTGTGTATCTGTACCCAGCAGTCTGTGTCTGATCGGACCGAAAGAGGGAGAGAGAACAGAACTGTTGCTGTGATGGTTTCCGCACTATTCAGCACTTCAGAGGTTTAATCTGCATATGTGTGATCATGGATTACAAAGCACTCCTACATGTTTCTCAGAAAGCCGTGGCGATGGAGATAATCTGATTACCTGCTGTTTATGCTGGTGTAGACCAGTGAGAGTGACCAATAGTGTTACATAATGCATGGCTGATGTAGGTGCATCTTGTTTCTGTACTTAATTTCTGCAGTTTTTAAATGGTTGTTTCTTTAGAAATATCTACAGATCTCTGCAGTGTTTACAGATAAACTAAACCCCTTAGGTTCCCACTTCCCACTCCTTATAACCCAGCTAACAAAATATGTTCTAGGAACGTTTAGCTAACGTTCTCATTAGGTTATGAAAATGCTATTTCTGAATGTTCTTTGAACGCCCAAAACGTCCAGCTTTTTGAATGTTTAGAAACGTTTTTTTTTTTTTTAAACATTGTCTCTATCATTCACATACACATTTTTTATCTGAATGGTAGAGAAAACATCACGGAAATGTTCCATTTTGTAATTGCAAACATTATGGGAATGTTAGTTTTGAATGTTTTTTGAACCATCTGAAACTAATATATAATATATTTTTTAAGATAGACGATTTTAGAAGGCCCAGCTAAAATGATTTAGAAAAAACATTCCATTAACAACGTAGGGTATAATATTTTTGTGCTAACGTCTTTAGAACGTCATTAAAGACACTTGGAGGAACGTTGTATTAATAAAGGGGTCATATGATGCGATTTCAAGTTTTCCTTTCTCT